GCTGCCCCCCGGCCCCGCACACGCCCCCCGCTGTAGCCCTCCCTTCCCGGTGCAGCCCTCCCAGGGCAGGGAGCTCTGCCCGAGGGACAACGGGGAACAGCGGCTGCGATGGAACTCCCCAGTGAACTGAACGCTGGACCCCACAGCCAGGGCACACCTGCACAGTGAACCGAACAGGAACCTGCCCGGTGGCCCACGCTGGGAAAATGACAGCACAAACTTGGGGCTATTGAACTGCCTCAGAGCTGGGGGAAGAGGAAGTAAAGGTGGAGGCAAAGCCAAGCAGTGCCTGTTCAGTGTGACAAATCTGAGGCTGCTCCCGAGCACCCACTTTGGGGGCTGTTAAGTGAGACTGAGACTGTGACACTGGGCCAGCCCAGCAGGACCGGGCCAATCTTGATGTAAAAGCAGATTAAAGCCTGGCTTTAGACAGGGAGGTGGAGACCATCCTGTAACTCACAGCSCATTCGTGTGCAGTGGCACAGAACAGCAGCACCTAAATCCCCACCCTAGGAGATGGGCAACCAAAGCTTCGATGTGTCACCAAGTGTGGGGTCCCCTGAATTTCTGCCTGTGTCCATCTTCCTGCTAAAGAAACTCACTACAAACCCTTTGCTCACAGGTGTTCATGCAGGAGGAAAGCAGTACTTACAGAATATTGAAACACTCAAACACAGAAATACTTAATTATCAAACTTTAATTCATAAGACTAATCTTACAGAATAAAACACCAGGATAACCAGTCAAGGTTACACTTAAAAAATCCAGCAGTGCAAATCTAAGACTAAATATTGTCATCTCCCTCCCCCCAAAATAGGCAATAGATTATTTAAAAATACCATAATACATGGTACTCACATATTCCATTTAAAATAAATCTGCAGTGGACACAAATATCTAAGTTCTTTTTAGTATAAAACCAAAGAATTAACTGCTTTGAGTATGGATAAGACAGAGTGAACTTCCATGAGCTACCAAGGTGAATCCTTGGCTAGAAGGTAAAATGGCCACGTTTCATATAAGACTTGCTATGGCTCTCCTGGTCCCCTGCTCCCCTCCGGTGACAAGGACATTCACTAACAAAACAAGACACCAACAGCCTCATCATAACAGGTGGGGAGAGGCTGGAGGACAGAACTGAAGGTGAAAACAGCTCCACTGGAAAAACCAAGTTACAAAGGAGGAAAAGTAAAAGAAGGGAAGTCTGGAAACAACCCTGCGAGGATGGGAGCAGGGGGTGCTGTGCTCGAGACAGTGGCACCTGCGGGGTCAGAACCGTGGCTGGAGGGCAGGGGGTGCAGAGCAGACCCCACCATGGCACCTGGGCAGCAGAGCAGCAGGGAATTGTTTCTCTTTGGCCCTTAGAGCACATTGGAACAGTGGCCACCAAGCCAGCAGGTGCAAGCTGGGCAGGGTGTGTGTGTCACCAGCACAGTGGTGGTGTTGACAGTTTCTTATCTCTTTTGAATCCAGATCACTCTTCCATCACCAGAACATCCTGACTGTAGCTACACATTCCTCATCAATATCATTAATGKAAATTAATAATGTACTTTAAATGTGGTATGAATCCATGTGAATAAYACAAGCTCTTCATGCATGACAATCTTTTCAAACCTCAACCAGGTTGAGTGACAAAACTTCTGCATCTCCAACGCAATAGTGATCCTGGGGCTGCTTATGCTTAGGGTGCACAAAGGGAAAAGCAAAGGATACTGAACTTGGGACAAGTAGAGGAGGAGAAACCCGAAGTGCTGGGCACAAATTGGGAAAAGGATGGTACACAGATGAGTTGTGATTTTCTGTGTCAGGGAATAAGGAAGGGAGCTGAGGGACTGAYACAGGAGGGATCCCACGGTGGCAGCAAGGAGGGGACATTGCCTGGGCTCTGGGAGCAGCCAACAGCAAACACAACTGTGTCCTGCAGGAGCCTGCGTTTGCCCCACAAATAAATTCAGTCTGCAATTAGCAAACCCTGAAAGTACTTAGTGCAACCTCATACGGAGTTGCACCCCAGGATGTTCCCAGGGATCACACCTACACACAGCAGGAACCAGTCTTCACTGAAAATACCATGTTGAATTTTAATTWAACTGAAATACATTTCTGTGCAGCTGTTACTGTTAACTTCCCACAGAAGATTATACATCACATCTCAGGACCTTCTTTATCACCAATTCCAAACAGCGAGTGTTCTTGCACTTTACTGACACACAGTGTCTCACTGAGGACTAACYATCAAACTCCTCCCCAGGAGCACTGGTTATGCTGAGTCTGCCTTGAGATGGTCACAATGACCAGAGAACAAAACCCAAARCCAAGAGAGAGACAGTGCTACAAGTTGCCTCGCAGCTTATTGCCTATCCCACTAAAGAGAGGTTGTTTCTTACTGTCAATAGCTGCCTTGGAAAAATTAGTGTATGACAGAACATCCAAAACTCCACATAATTCCCAAAGAGAAAGGATCTTAAAAGCAGTGCCACYGATTTCAACTACTCATTTCAAACAGGTCCCAAGAAGCCTGGTATATTGAGCCAACAAACACCAACTAAAGCATTTATAAGTCACTTTCCTGTATTTTAATTCAAATTTTGCACATAGAACAAAAAAAAAGGAAACAATTTCATTTTTCCAATCAAACCCAACCTGCAAGRAAGCACCTAAACAGGATCACATTTTCTTAATGTATAGTATTTTCTTCATGTTTAAAACTGCTTTGTGTGTAACCAAGGGATTTGTGTTCAGTGTCTTTTGATCTGCTGGGTTGTACCTGGCCCAGGACTCAGAGSAGCAGGAGTGTGACACACTGCCCTGTGCCCAGTGGGTCAATGCCTGTCCCCACTCGCCCCAGAGTCACTCGCCCGGTCACTGYGTCCTGCACAGCAACTGGGGARGAGMTGGAACTCRGGCCCTCCCCAGGAAAAAGGGGGCRAARGGACAGGAAGGGAAACRGAACACAAACAGATGYACAGACATGTCTGAGCGTGTTGAGGAACAAATGGGAGCTGATCATCACAGAACCAGCAAGGTGGTGAGTGCCAATGTGGCCCCAGGTGACAGAAAGAACCAGTGCCACCCTTTTGCTTTATCCTGTAGTGCCCACACCTTCCACCAGGCAACCAATTGTAAATTTAAGCCTTAACACCAGGACTGGCAACTAGAAAATCACATTTCATCCATGACAATGTCACCAGTAAACTCAGGCCAGCTCCCTTCTGCCCCCACTGCTCCAAGGGACTGCCAAGGGAGCTGACACAGCTCTTCTGGCCCAGCCACTCGTGTCAAGGACACACTGCTGCTGGCTTGTACACAGAAAGGAAATACCTCAAGCGACAAGAGTAACAAGCACATCACTAGTTTCTACGCAGGATATGAAACACCTTCAAAACTCATTGCGTGGCTCTTCTAACAGAAAATACAAATCAAAAGCTGCTATCAAGAGGCTACAGGGAAATTTGTGACCTCAACACCTACCAGAAAGCCGATGTGTTTTCCAGTCCCTCAAGTAAAAATAAAACAAAAATAAATAATCATTTGGGAATTTGCACCTGCTGAGYTTCAACTGGGCTGTTTCAAGGAGAAGAAAGAGTGGACATGGAGTATATTCAGATTAGCTATTCCTAAAAGGCTGTTTCTGCATCAGTTTGAGCTATTGGCACGGAGTATCACCAAGTATCACCCCAGCACTACTGCAGAGCAGGGATGTGTGAGCTGCTCCAGTCTGGTTGCACAATGTCACCTGCTATGGGCTTGCACCTGTCCAGGGCTGAGGGCTCCATTCAGAACACCTGAGATAAATGGCACATGGATGGCTGGGATGACACACAGAGCATCACAGCCCAAGGTGCAGCACGTTCCTTCTGACAGAATGAGGTGTGAGGGCTTCTTGTGAACTGGAACAGGAGAAAAGCTGGAAGGTGGTTTATATTGCCAAACATCACTTGYTGGATAGTTAATCTAAATTAGGTACGATTCACTGAATTCAAGATCACTACAAATTTTYAAATCCAGCTTACAAAAAACTGCTGCCATTACTAAGAATCCAAAACAGCATCTGAGCTTCTTTCTTCYCTCCTGCCCCCACCCCAAATAGGGCAGAAAGGTCTCTGTGGTTCCCTCCCTTTGGGAGATCTGTGTCACTGTGTCACCCTGCTCCCACCAGGCAGCGTTACGGTGTTTCCATCCATGTCCATGTCACTGTGTCCCCCTGCTCATACCAGGCAGCACAATGGTGTTTCCAGTCCAACAGTTCAGTGTCAATGCAGCAGCTGCAAAATGATCCTGGACTGCAACATGCACGAGCAAGAAAATGCTCCCAAAATGTAGCAGCCCAGGGCAGGAAGTGAAGCACTGACTGGGCACRAGAGGAGGCAGCATTGGGTCACCTGCCACAGCAAAACATCCCTGCAGAATTTACCTGCTCCAAACACGTTACAGAGACCAACCCGGAGCTGCCAAGTTGGGAAAAGGTGAGGAAAAATCCCAAACAAGCAGGGCATCTTTGGGTTAAAACAAAGAATTAGTTCTGCTACCAAAGAGTGGAAGCTGCCCTGGAGGGCCAGCAGGATATGGCTTCACCGAACAGTGATGCTGCACACTGCTACAGTTTATTCCTAAAAATCTGCTCCTCAAAGTCCCAGCCACAACCAAGTAACTAAATTAAGTCTAATGCGGATAACTGAAAGATTATGAAAATATTTGTTTTTGTTCAAACCATGTAAAAAATCCTCAATAATACATTGTAATATTTTCTTTTTAAAACTAAACTGGAAGATCAACTCTCAGCAGATTTAAGTGTATTACACACGATATTTTGTGAATGAAGATTTATTGATTTCCATTGTATTTGCTTTAAATATGGTTGAAGCTGACTGCAGAAAAGGGATGGTGAAATCTTTAAGTTAAAAGTAAACTAATGGTGAAAGAACATCACCTCTGGCTTCCATCCATGCCTCGTTTAGCATGTTTTAATAATAAGTTCCAGGACTGTCACATCCAGGGATGTTGGAGGCCTCTCCCAGCAGTGTCCTTAGCTTTGTGTCATTTTCCTGTGCCAGAGGTGAGCGTGCTTTCAAAAATACTGCCACTTCCCCAGCACCGTGTCTTTGATTGCATCGACATACTGAGTTGGGACCCAATAGACCCAGTAGTAAGATGCTTCTGTTGGGCCCAGCTGAAATGCCTGCAATTAAAAATGACAACATTTACACATGGGAACAAAGAGCTGGTCCCAGTGGACAGGCACAGCTCATCCACTGCCAAAACAGACCAGCCTGTCCCACCTGCTGCTCCCTCCAGCTCTTGGGGCATGCTACAGCTCTTTGGTGGGCAATTAAGAAGCATTCCAGAGAACAAGAGCTGCAGAGCACCAAGGAAACCATGAGTTCTTCCCTTTTACAACATCACAACAGTAACCAAACCTCCTGRCCAGTTTCAAGAACACGTGGAAATTATTCTGGAAAACAACCTGAAGCATAACTCAGAGTCTCTAAAGAAATGACAGAGCTGAGAAGCCAAACAGGGACTAAATAAGATAATGACCATGTTTTTATAGTCACAGGATTTTATATTTAGACATAATGTCCTAYTCTCCACTTCTCTCCCATGCCCAGGAGAAGGGCACCAGGGCATGCCTGAGCCTCTGTCCYTGCTGTGGGTAAGTTTATTGCAACATGTGCTGAAGAGGACCTTTTCTCACATGAGTGATCAAAAATCAAGTATTTGGACAGAGACTAGAATGGCATCCCCCAGCAGGCAGATTTTAAGGAAAAACTTTTTCCTTTCCTCCCCCTAAAGAAGGAAACAGACTACTTACAGAAAAGAATCTTCAACATTAAAAGTTAGTTACTGTATTTTGAGAAACAGGATCTTAAAAATCCATATGGATTAAAATAAACAGCCAAAAAATCAGTACATTAGCACACTTCTCCTCTGAAATGTAACTTTGCTACATCCCATGCCAGCTGTTCACAAAATTAGAGGTGTGAAAAAATATTACAGCATCAAATCCTTTTTTTCTTAACCTCCATCAAGGCCTGTTGCTTATATAAATACCACAGAAACTAGAAATTAAATCAGGTATCAAAAATATTGTTACCATTAAGAAATCATGAGCTATGTTGTGAATGTTTTTACTGGTTTACACTGTCACAGTCAGAAGATATAAAAAAAAATGCTTAGGCATTTTATGCTTGTGTCAAACCAGTCCAGATTTCCACACAGCAGAATATGGACCCACATATTGACAGTGTGACAGCAGCTCAYGTCCCCATCTCCACAAGGCTGGAACCACCATCCACCTCCAGCCTGCTCTGACCTACAGCCTCACTAGTGTGCACTGCATGAAGGAATTAGATGGATATGATTGAAGTAGAGCTGTTACTCACCATCATGTGATAATCCTCATGGCCTTCAATAGGTTCACTCACCACATTTTTAATGGACCCCATGGGTAACTTTTCTGTTCTCTCTACATTAAAATTGATCAAAGTATTATTTCTGACATGCGGGGAAGCAGTATTTCATATTAATTTCCAACACCACCTCCATTAATGCCAAAATCTGCTCAGGTCAAGAGTCTCCCCTCCAGGTGAGTTTTGGATACCTGCTGCCCAGGACATAGTGGCTGCAGCACCACACACCCCATAGCTGGCATCCCAGTAGTGTGAAGGAATCCAAAACAGGATCACACAGTTCCCCTGTATCACATGAAGTATTTCACTGCTCATGATTTGGCCTAGACTGAGTGATGGGAAATCCCAGGCTTTACTGAATGTTTTCCCATGAGGAACTCCCCTCGGAGCAGCAGGGATGCTCATCCCAGTGGAATCTAGTCCACATAGGASAATATTCAGGATTACACTGAACTCCCAACAGCAAGGCTGAACGCTGACAGACTGACTTAACTCTGAAAGCTTAGGCCTGGCTTTACCYTGAGGCAGCATGCAGAGCAGCACAGTGAAAGGAATATAAAAGAGTAAACAGGGAAAGAAACAAAAAGAGAAACTGAAGCCTCAAAAAGACTACAATTACACTACAAAGTAACACCAGCTGGCCAGAGGTAATGACAAGAGTGAGAAATACGTGGTTCAGGGCAGAGTTTTCCTGTCAGCTCTCTCCTTGCTCCTTTCTGAACACTGAATTCCARGGTCCTGCCTTTCAGTTCAAGCATTCACCATCAGCTGAATATTACCTTCTTAGATACAAGACCAAGAATACCCAAAACATTCTACAAAGGAGAAATTGAACTCTGAGTTCCTGAGGTAGATCTATTTAATTTGTGATGCAAAAAACTCCAAACCTACCCACAGAAGGCACACAGGTAGATAAACTCAGCGATGTAAGGAAAAATCCTCTGCCTTGGCACCATAACTGAGCTCACTCACCTGTTCAGACCTGYAACTTCATCCATGAGGTAAAACCCCACTTTGCCTGTTTAGCATYCCCTAAATCAATTACTGCTCTGSGTATCCCAGCRGTAGCCAAATCCCATTAAAAATGCYTCTGCAGAACTGACACAGAGCAACTGCTTGTACCAAAGCTCAGACTACAAACACCTGTACAAWTCCCCTGTGAGGCCAGGGAGGCTGCAGGGCCAGGGAAGAACCAGCTCCAACTGGCCAGGGCCAGCAAGTGAGAAGCTGTGTGAACATCCAGATGTGTTTACTCCAGCCTTTACCTGCTGGCCTCTGCCATGGGTTTCTCAAGAGTAGGAAGGAGTTTTTCCCAATAACAGCCAGCAATTATAACCATTCCCTAGAGCCAGCAAGCTGCTTCTAATCTGGGGAAGTAAGGAAATAGRTTACAGGAAAGACATGACTACAAGAAGAATCAAATTCACAGCTTAAGGAACACTATATAGAACACCTCAGAAACACTACACTTGCAACTCATCTGGTAGGTGATGGAAAGGATTAATCACCTAAATAGTAAGCAYGGATTTAGAATCCAGAATCAGTAACAGAAAAATCTGTGTGCCCAACCTATAGAAGAAAAAACACCTGCCAATGCMTTGCTGCATCACTTTGCCCAGGAGTGAAATCACTGCAACCGGCACCAAGAGAGCTTTTAAATCCAGAAAAATCTTCACAGTCAAGTCTGTCCTACAAAGGAAGGGTCAAAAACTTTTGAGTGGTCTGCTTACTTTGGAACTGCTGTAGCAGCTGGAGGCAGTATAACCATCCAATTAGCCTACTTTACTGGCCCAGTGAGCAAGCACTTTTATCCCTCTTGCTCATCACCATATATTGCCCATCCTGGTCAAACTGAGGAGCACAGCTTCCTTGGCAGGTGGGGGGATCCCAGTGTCCCATTTAGCCACAGACAGCAATTAGGCACCACACAGACATTCATTTCCCCTGCCCCACAGGAACGGGGAGGAGAACTGGGAAAAAAGTAAAAAACTCACGGGTTGAGGTAAGAACAGTTTAATAATTGAAACAAAGCAAAATATACTACTACTACTAGTAATGGTAATAATAGCAGTAATTAAAAAAGAAACCACCCAAAACAAACAAACAAAACCCAACAAAAACCCTGCAGAGAAAGCACTGATGCCCCATAAAGCTGCTCCCCACCCACTGACCCATGTCCAGCCTGTCCTCCTCTCCAGTGACTAGCCCCTTCCAGCCAACTGCCCCCAGTTTATACTGGACATGACCCTCTGTGTTGGGAATATTCCTTTGGCCAGCTCCTGGTCAGCTGTCCTGGCCCTGCTCCCTACCAGCTCCTTGAACGCCTCCTCACAGGCAGAGCTTGAGATACCAAACAGACCTTGACTGAGGGAAGCACTGTGCAGCAACAACCAAAACATCCACTGTTATTGGAATTATTCTCATCCTGAAYCCAAAACAGCTACTGGGAAGAAAACTAACTCTATCCCARCCAAAACCAGGACACAAGACATCCTCAGCAAGGCACGTTATGCCCATGTAATTCCCAGCTCTTCCTGGCACCACTCATGACTGCAAACCAACCCCTCTGCACAGCAACACAGTTGTGCAYTACTGAGACAAGACACCCACGTAATTTTGGCTGGAAGGACAGAAAGTGCCAGAGATGCCAACACTCCCAGTTTTTATCCCAGTTCTGAGTTTTCCTTCCAAGTCTTGGCTAAGCCACTGAGCCCCTGTGTACTGTTGGCATCAAATCCATACTTATGGAGTGCTTTTGAGATATGCCAGAACTGCCAAATACTATMATTTACATTTGGAGCCAGGAACAGCACATTGGACCATTAGTCTGCTGGCATCACTGAACTCCAGTTTTTCAGGAACAGAAGTAGAATATCAAGCACTATTCAATGAACTGAGAGAATGGCAAGTGAGAAAAGGAAACAAAGTTTTTTAGAAGTGCTGCAATACCAAAATCACTCCCTAAACACAATTTAGTCAGAAGAGAAGCTTTTCTAGTCACACAGCTCAGTCACAGCCCAATTACCAATTGCTCATCTCTGAGTTGAGAGGTGCTCACCTTTTGTACCAATCCACAGCTGGTCTTGCTCGAGTTTGAAGGTCAATCTGACTTTCCCCCCTGACTTGTTGTACATGCCAGACAGCGGCACTGTCGGCAGCCGCTCCTGCAATGAGACACAGTCAGTCACGGCAGGGGCTGGGACACAAAAGCTACATTCCCACAAATTTTTAAGCATCCATCTTTCCAGCTTTCTGCTAAGACAGCAAAGAACAATTAAACCAGCAGGGAAAAATCTCAAATCACATAAAAGTCTCTTTCCTGATTCTGAGTGTCTCAAGACCTTAACTCACGCACCTGCACACCTTTGACAGAAGGCATCACATCGTCAGGTTTTCCTTTATCCAATACTTTTCTGTGTTGCTACAATATAAAAACAGAAATTAAATTCACARAAACATTACAAAGCTTGGCAATGTACTTCTGGCTGCTCCCCTGACCACATCCCAAGGGCACTGAGAGATAGTTGAGGGCTGTTCACAAGCATTTGTCACACAGTCATCAGTTATTTTCAAACTTAATTGTGCACTTTCTAAGATACTCTCCAGAAACTACCAAAATGAATAGAACCCCAACATAATGCCAAGGGTAACAGATCTTCTCAAACATATACACACATAAATACAYGTCTATCAAAAATGTTACAGCCAGTGAATGGCAGAAACCCTCAGTGTCTGACAGCGCAACCCAGCATCAAACCAGAATGGATCAGAGCAGCAGGAACTTTTACATCCACGCTCACAGCTYATACCTGGCTGAGCACCTTTAAGAAAGTGTGAGCTGACTGTGAACTGTGATAAATCACAGAAAACCAACAGCACACTTCATAGAGGCATTGCTTAATTTTAACCAGTTTTATTTTGAGGAAGGTACACGGTTGGCAATACCTTGAACTGGCAATCCTTCACCAGCCCTCCACACTGCAGCACCACCAAATCAGCCCCAGTGCACTGCACTCCAAAATTTGAGAGGAGAATTCAACACCCACATCACCATCAGTGCTGCAACAGCTGAAGGAACTGCTCTCTTGCTGTTCATTTYAAGCAGTTTTTTGAGATCAAATTCTTTTGTGCCAATAAAAATTAGCTAGGTYTTAGACARAGTTAATCTGGAGTGTTTGCACTARCATCCATCAATGTTTCAGTTTTTTAACCGAAATGCTTGGCTGTGCTTGGCACCACAAGCAGTGTCTTGCAAAGCCCCARTCCCTGCTGGACTAAACAGTTCTCTGCTACTCCCCTGCCCATAGTCATTCCAATACTGAGCTGTCAGAAATGAACACCCAGCCTGATCTAAGGAGGGAGGAAGAGGACCCAGAATTGCCTGCAGAAGAGCCACATAAAACCTACCACCTCCCCACGACATTAATTATTGAGAAATTAATTACCTTTTGCCTGCAAAGTGGCTCCTTTTTGTTTTCCTCAGCCTTGACCTCCTGTTGAGCAGCTTCTTTGGGTGTATTTACAGCTAACACATCGTTGATGGTAGAGCCCACAACCATTATTTTYGCTCCATTTGTTACTTTGATTTCTCGCAACGTTTTCTCCTCSGGCAGAAGTCCCTTGAACATAACTTTCTGCATGGCCGGTGGGAGGCCTAGAGACAAGCACAGCGATTAGGAGCCCGCGGCGGCGGYGAGGGAGGCGCGGGGGAGGCGGCGGCAGTCCCGACAGACCTGTGAGCGAGTGGATCTTCTGCTTCAGCTCGGCTCCCGTGCTGTCCAAGCAGAACTTCACGTCGTACTTGTTCTTGTTCCAGATCACCTTCAGCTCCACCAGCTCCCGTCCGCTGTCCTCGTCGCCGCCGTTGCTGACAGACGCCTGCGGGGGYTCCCGGCGCTCCTCGCTCTCCGGAGACCTCCCCGCCGCCGGCGAGCCGCCCCCTCCGCCACAGCCCAGCGGCAGCTCCTGCGCCTCCGCCTCCATGCCCGGCTCCTCGGCACCTACGGGAAGCGGACAGGAAGATCCCAGCCCACGCGGCGGTGTCCCGGCCCGGCCCCGCTCCAGCCCGGGAGCGCCGCCCGCCGCGTGCCGGGGCTGGCTCCCCGCGCCGGCGCCTCTCAGCCCGCCCCGCCGCGCCCTGCACCGGACACCGCGGGCTCCGGACACCGCGGGCTCCCGGTACCTCAGGCACCGGACACCGCGGGCTCCGGACACCGCGGGCTCCCGGTACCTCA